CAGTGCCTAAAACAGTATGCCTACCCCCGCTGCCATTTCGCGGAGGACGCGGTACTTGACGTTGTCGACTGGGTGTCGCACAATGCAGACAATGGTGACATATCATCGCCCACAGCAGTTGAGCTGAGCAAAGCCTTCGACAACATTGACCACTTCAACAAGCTGGGATAGTACGGAGTCAATCCCTCGAGGTTCAAGAGCTACCTCACCGGACGGAGTCAGGTAGCCAGAGGTAGTAGTGCGCCCTTCTGCCGGTCACACCTGGCGTGCTACGAGGATCGGCAGTCGGACCGATCCTGTTCAGTCTTATGACCAACAACTTGCTGTGCCATCTGTCCGACTGTCATCATGCATGCTGACGGCATCCAGCCTGCTGGACCAAACGAAGACATAGGACCAAGATCTCACTGCTCCCCAGACTTGAATTGAGCATACTTTGGCAACGAAGGAGAGATGGTTTCGCTCTAGCCTCCTCAAAAGGGCCCTGAAAAACTAACCTCATTCTTATTCGAAGCGAGCAAAATATAAAAAGGACGAAAAACTTAAACTTGGTCATGGCCAACGCCCAAGTGTCACCCTCTCGCCCGGTCCGGCTGCTCAGCGTCGCCAATGACTCTGTTCTGTCTGACGGTTCGCACATCAGTCAGTGGTCAAGAAGTGCAAAGCACTTTTGATGTATTTCTTTCGCCTGCGGCATCGTTTCATCCAGGACATGTGGAAGTTTTTTTTGGAAACCCACGTATTCCCTTATATCCAGCATTGTCTTTTGGTATGGGAACGCGCCGTCAAAACCAACCGTACAGGATTCAGAAAGTTCTAAATTTTGCCGCTGGCGGGTGTCGTGGTGTCGGGACAGGATCGGTCCGACACTCCAGGCTCTAGGATGGGACCGAATGGGCGGTTAGTGGAGGTACAGGACGCCACCAGTCTTGAAGGCTTTAACTACCAGCTTTCGGTACCGGGCGGAGTCCTAGTGGAACAGGCTGCCGGTCGGTGTAATCAAGTGCCGCTCACTGTCCGCCTTTAAGCGCGCCGTGAGGGCCATGTGCAGTCGGGCGGATATTTCAGATACAGTGATATTGCGGCTAAGGCGCACTCACATTCGCATGCTATTTTTCATCTTTGCATGTTTGAGGCGCTTTTGGCCATGTGCATTGTGTTTTTAGTATTTCTGACAGTATTCCTGTCCTTGGTTTTGTATTTACCTGTACACGCAACGGGAAATTAACTTTTTTATGCTGTGTTGGCACCATGCAATGGACGCAAACCCAGAAGAAGACATGGATAGATTGTCTATGCCGATGATGCAACTAATTATGGATGGTTTCGATCAATTCTCTAGCGCCTGTTTTAAATGTCTGGATGCTTATCGAGATGTATCGGGCCTATCCCTGAACAGACAAAAGACGCGAGCGGTATGGATAGGCCAGCACCGAAACGGAGTGGATGCCATTTGTCCAGAGATTGAGATATTGTGGGGGCGTAACACATTAGATTGCCTTATAAACAAAACTCACCCCGCCATGCGAAAACCTGAGAAATATTAATTATCCGGAATAGATGAAAGGCTGAAGACCAAACTTAACCCATGGTTTGGACGTGGCTTGACTGCATTCGGGAAGGTACATGTGAAAAAGTCGGATACTTTCTCGCAGCTTATATATCTAATGACTGTCTTAGAAGAGTCAAATCATACGACCTTAAAGCAGATAGAAACGACAATATACCAGTTCACTTGGAACCAATTTCGGGCTACGATTAAGCGGTCGGTGATGAAAAACCGTCGTTTCGTCGCAGGACTGAGGCTGCCCAATCCATCAGTACAGGCAGACAGTCTTAAAATGGCCTGGAAAAAGAAGTTGTTGAACCCAGAGTGCAATGCTAAATGGAAGAAAATACCGTAACACAAACTAGAAATAAACGCCGTAATATCATTATTACACTGTGATACCCATCCTCAAGAATGTTGAATGTTCTAGATGGATGTAGGTTTTGGCAGAAGCATGAAATACTTGCATCCAGATCGTGTACTTATTACAGCCCAGACTCTCAGGAGTAAACTAGCCAGCAACTAGCAAACACAAAGCAAACTAGCAAACACACTAGCCAAACTCATATGGAACAACACTGGCGTGAAACTCGAACAGAATGTGTCGTTGAACGAACACCAACTGATTCACCGTTAAGTCGTTCAAATAAACGGCCTGCACAACCACCAAGACCGAAAGCTCCTTACTGCAGACCAACTGCAAATTTAATTCGGATATGGACATTTCCTAGCATGGTGGTCAATACTGCATGTCAAACCCCGCTCTTGGAAGGAAGTGCTTGCTAAGGAAAAGCCCACCAAGGCGGTCCTTCCATGCGCTCATGAGCAGAAAAGCAAGTACGTGGGAACAGCGAAGCGGGGATATAGTACAATCCTATCCTCGGCTCATGTTTCCCTACCAGACAAGGCTCAGACGAAATGGGAACTTAGGTCTGGACCTATGGGGCAAGAGCACTGGAAACAATATGCAAAGTACTGTAGGCCACAAAAGATGAATTCAAACTAAGGTGGCTGCAGTTTAGAATTGTCCACAGGATCCTACCGACGACCCGCATGCTACACCTCTATGGGATCAAAGAGACGAACCAGTGTCCGCGTAACCAAAGTCACGGCGAAGAAATACTACCTGTGTTCTGGTCCTGGGTCGCTGACTTTCTGGACTGACCTGAGTACGCAATTGCAACTCCAGAGACAACTCACTATATATAACATTATCACTAGCCTTTATAATCCTGTTGATCCGGTCGAAGCACTTTCAGTGTCCGCCTCTCGACTGTGCTTGATGTTGGGCAAACAGTACATATGGCAGTGTCGTAATGCGTAGAGTGAGCCATATAGCCGGGTTTTCTTTGGCCTTATTCAAAGGTACACCGACGTAGAAAGACATGTGGCTGTGAGCACCAGCACAATCCACACTACAACCCGACGTGGTCTGTGATCGTGGAGGGACTGTCTGTGCTCTCACCTGGTTGAGCATCGCGTCAGCGGAAGGGGCGGTGGCGTCGTGTGGCTGAGACAGTCAGCGATAAACTACGGTTGGCACCGGGCACATGGCCATTGGTGTCCCGATGGCGCATGTGCGTGAGGAGGGGTGTTAGTGAGTGTGTATGCCATCACTCTGCATGCCATCGTTACCGGCGTCGATTCTCCGCCGCGGCCGTCTGGCTCGGCCCTTCCGAGGGAGCTGTGGGGCCGGGCTGCCGGCTGGGGGTGTGGCTGGCTGTCCTGCCCTGCCACCTGGCGGAGTCTTCAGCTGGCCGTCTCGCTCGTTCGCGCGGCCGGCGGCGGAGGATGCTACTCCGCGGTGGTTGCTGCGGTGGCTCGCCGGACAGCGCCAGCAGCGGAAGGTGGCATTGCCGCGATCCAGGGCGGTGTATATGTCACTGTGTGATTGTTCGAATACAAAAGAATTAGGAATGCAAACGTCAAGATGTTCGAGAATTAATAAAATATGATCAGGCAAACAAAAAGCCATATGTCGGTCGACGCTGGTCAGCTGCTTTACCCTGTCCTCCGGCCAGTGGCTGGGACGACGAAGACGACGAAACGACTACAAGAACCTGGCTGCAAGTTAAAACATTCAACCTGTACACTACACCCCTAACTCCAAGACAATTTGCAATTTCAGGGGAATTCAGGCTCGAGATATTTCGGTTACACTTCCTTCTGTGTTCCATTCCCTGTCCCCTGTGCCGCATACAAATGGTGCTGACATTTCAAGCCCACAGCGTAACATTGCAAGCAAGAAATACAAATGCTACAAATGACAAATTGGTTGTTTGTCAGCAGCGATGCAGGCTTTGTGGTCATGTTAAGTAAAGTTACTCTTAAGAAGCTATGGTCTGAGGAGCCATGCCTTAACTCATAACTTCACATGGAGCCCATAATTATGGTAATATAAATTTGGTAGTGTTCTGAACAACAAGGGGTATACTCACGTAGTGTTCATATACCAGTGATCACAAACGGAGCACGCAAGCGCACCAGACCGCGCCCGGCTGGCCAGCCAGCGCCTTCGCGCTGCGTGTCCGGCCCTGCCAACGATTGTCGTAACGCGGCCCGCCGGCCACGAACCGTCGCCACCCAGTACCGGAGCACCACCCGCCGATGCTGCCTTTAGTCACCGGACGCCGGTGCTTGATACGCAGGCGACGTCATCCTCGCCGACTGGATGCTTCGGAATGTGTACACACAATTTGTCTTGCTCTTTGCGTTGAGAACTGCAAAACGGTGTGAATAAAGACAGCTATGACTGAAAGAGACACGAAGAAAAGAAGAACGAAATATGATTGAAAGGAACACGAAGAAGAGAAGACAGAAATATGAGTGAAATAACGATCTAAAGAAGAAAAACGATTAACTAACATGACTGAAACAGGCACGAACATATGAACCATTGTTAGCATTTCTGGTAGCATTTGTGTGGTATGCCCTTAACGTCTAACCCGCATCGGTACCATGCCCGGTACTTTCCCAGAACTGAACCCAAACCAACCTGTAACCCATTACGGTACTAAACCTAGAGGCTCGCCCAACATTGAAGTCCTCTTAATGCATGCCTGCAGTGCCTGGGCCAATGAACACCGGAAAAAATCACAAAAATTAAAAAACGCCAGACGTGCCTACCTGGCTAGGTGGTAGCCTCAGACCGATCAAGATTCCATTCTTATCTTGGATTTCACTTTGATTTTGGAAATTTGCTTCGGCCTTGTGTCCAAATTCTCGGTGAAAATTGAGGTCCAGCATAGGTCCCGGACAGTAAAAAAACTGCCATTTTCATAGCTGCTTGCACACTAACTAAAAACAGTGAGACTTGAGACTACTTCTACAGGAAAGCTTGTTTTTGCCACCTGCGGATAGGCTCTGCCTCGTCTCAAATGAAGCATACGGCCCTATTGTCAATGTCTCCGCCCACATAGCATGGGCCAGCTGCGAACGTCGCCCGATGCCATACAAAAATCCTTTGTATTTCCCACCAGGTGTGGAAGCGTATACCAAGCAAAGGGACATGACACAATAGGACACAACACTTGTCGTCAGGTTTTCCAACACCTGGTTCAGCACCATCCGACGACTCCGTGACGTTCCGACCAAATCCGTGCTCCTGTTCATATGCCAGTTATCACAAACGGAGCACACGCACGCACCAGACCGCGCCCAGCTGATCAGCCAGCGCCTTGACGTTGCGTGTCAAGCCCTGCCAGCACTTTTTGCGACGCGACCCGCCGGCCACGGACCGTCGCCACCCAGTACCCGAGCGCCACCCGCCGATCCTGCCTTTAGTCACCGGACGCCGGCGCTTGACACGCGGGCGACGTCGCTATCGCCGACTGTCCCGGAACGCTTCTTCCGACACGCGACGCGCGTCTGTCCCGTGACGCGTGATTCGTCTCGGAACGTGACGCGTATCCGGGGGGCGTCGTCAGCGCCGGGACGTCTGAATCTGACCCGGGACGTGCCGTCCGTTCCGGTACACGCCAGTCGGCTGACCGGGCGTCTGTTCCGGCCGGAGCTGTGGTCGGCCGTCGGCCGGCGTGTCGCGGACGGCCCGCTATCTGGCCACGTCGCCGAGGTCCTCAGGATGCTGCGGCATGCCGGTGCGCCGGCGCTTGGTGGCGCCGTGACACGCAGCCGGCATCAGGCGCCGGCGCCCGCACCGCTGCCGGTAACAGTACTCGGCCTGCTTCAGGAACATGCGCATCACCAGCAGGTTGTTCCAGCTGGGGCCGACCAGCGTGTCGCAGCGGCCCCGCGAAGCCTCCTGCTCGGCCGCGCACTGGTAAATGCAGTCGATCTGCATGGTGAACGGGCTGCAACAGAGCGAGAGGCTGGACGGTCAGCAAGCAGAAATTAATGACTGCTCGCCTCAGCAGCTGCATGTGAAAGAGACGCATGTGAGATTGCAAGAAGCTTTGGGCTGTTCTTTTGCTTCGAGCTACACCGAAGTTAGACAGACCAAACAAAGTCTCGAGCCACGCCGAGCACGGGCATCCCGGCGCGTCTCACCTGGTGGACTTGCCAGTGGCGTCCGGCCGACCCCAGAGCTGGTCCATGTCGAGCATGCGCAGCTGAGGCAAGGCCCGTTCACGGACCACGCCCGTCACGAAGGCGTCGTCCACCCAGAAGAACTTCATCTGGGCGGCGGCGGCCACCAGCCGCGCCGCCGCATCTGGCGTAATGGCGTACAGCCAGCCGGACATGTAAGTGGGGTACCAGTCGGGTGCGAATTCCTCGCGCGTCACGAACCACTTGTTGTCGGGTACGCGGATGGGCCCCGTTCCGGCGAACAAAGCGCCGATGGCGGTCATGCGGCGGGGAGCCGTCGACAGACGCTCGCGCAGCTGGAACACGTCCACAGCGATGTCATCGTCCATCTTGACGATGTACCGCGCTTGCGGGCAGTAGGTGGTGGCCCAGTGCAGGCCCATCAGGTGTTTGTAGGTGAGGTTGCGATACGCGTCCTGGAAGTGGCCCGATACCAGATCGCCGTGTTCGTGGTTCTCGGCCTGCGAAGCCGCCACGCGCCGGTCGTACTCACCATCCACTGCCGGCGGCGGCAGCCCAGCTAGCAGAAACACACGGCGCATGCGCAGCTCGGCCAGCGTCTGCTGCGGCAGCGCGGCGCGGATGGCGGTGCGCACTGAGGGCGCGCGCGTGTTGGAGGTGACCACCATCACGATGTCGATCTGCGCCGTCCCACACACGTCGTTGTTAATGACGAACGTGAAGTTGCTGAGGTTGGAGAGCCGGAAGCCGTCGGGATACAGCGCCGGCTTGGGGAAGCTGCTCGGCGCTGTGGACGGCGACGGCTTCCCGCTGAAGGGCACATCGATGTCCGTCGCTCCGACCAGGGCCGGGTTGACGCGGAGCGTTTGCACGTGTTTGTTGGCGGCCTGCAGCCAACCGGCAAACGCACTGCGTTGCTGTGACGTTGCCAGGCGCATGCTGCTGAAGGTCAACATGAACAGGACGGTGGTGCTGAGCGCAACGATGCCCGTCACCATGCATCGGTTGCTGACTCGCGGGAAGTCGGCCTTCTGAAAGCAGCGCATAGCTCAGCTATGGCTCATTAACATCACGTAGCATTCATACCCTGTGTACAGACACTCGCAGAGCTATGGGCGCAACCCGTTGCAACCCAAACGCAGCTGCGTGCTTGATCCCAAGTGGCCTCATTCGGTCGTTGGGAACATTTCCAGCTTGTTGTGGCGCGCGCCCTCCTCTCAGCTTTATGACCCGCGTCTGTTTGGCGGTTCGTACTGCCGTGGTGAAATCCACGTGCTTCACAATCTGCATTGCAACACGCGCGCAATATTTGGATCACCTCCTGGTAATTATTGGAATACCAAAACTGAGTTGCATTGCAAAAAGCAAGGAAATTAAAAAATTAAATTAACGGCGGTAGGTATTTCGATTCTATCCTAAGTTCAACGGCCAGCCCGGTAACGCAGCATTCGAATTTTTGCAGAGGCATTGACATATCTCGCGAATAAGATTTTAAACCTCTCCTTCATAGCCTCAAGAATTCGGTGTTCGGTCATATAACATAACAATTGTACCATAACATATATACCAAAGGACTAACACCTATGCGCCTATACGATAGGTACACATGTGAGGTATTTGCTTCCCGCTAGGCCCACGCTAAATTCAAAGCTTACAGGATTGTTGCAAAGTAGTGAGAAAACTCGTAGGAAAGGGAATGATTTGAAAACTACTGCTAAGACAATCTTTAATACCCAACTATATTGCATCCTAAACAACTTAAACTACACCTCGATGAACAGGCACCCGCATTTTTTGGTGTGCACACACCATATTGAGATAAAGGTACGTGATGCAACAGAGCTATAACAATCGTGCACCTACCGAAAATTTCCAGCTGCTGGGAGTCTGCCGCGCCCGTGTAGTGGTATGAGGTACGGCACGTCATCACAAAAGGTATGTTGCTGACAGGTGCACACCCACTGAAATGTGCAGAGCAAGCAAAAGTCCCCCACCTGAGGTGACCGTGAAGTTTCTGTATGCTGGGTCTTTCATAAGCTTTCAGGTATTTCATTGCGGAGGACGTAAATCACTACTTGCTCTCCTTCAGGCAGAATCAACAGTTTGTACTCGCGCACGCATACGTCCCTGTGCAGGAGCTTAAAGGGGTAATTGTTGTCGCTGCGAGAGCGACACTAAAAGCCTCCCGCCGTGGGAACTCCTACGTGCTGTTTGCATGTGACTCGCACAGTTGACTGGAACTCTTTAATACTCAGAGCAACACTGTAGAAGATGCGGTATTGCCGCTAGCGGTTGCTTGTCGTCATGACTGATGATTACTGCCACATTTTCGCGCCTCATGTGACAGCTACACATGTGCACAGCCAGGTGTGTCTTTTATTTGCATTTCGGGGACGGGGTCCACCGACTGACAAATCCGGTGCCGTGTGGTGCATCCTGGGGTGCGAAGAATAATACCGGCGTTTCTGTAAGCTGTTGTGTGCCTCCTGCGGCGACTCCTTGCCTGCGCATTTCCGGGTGTTCATGCTTTTGGGGATGGTATTAGCTCGCATCTCTATTAGGGGAGTCACACCTACCCATTGTTAAGCTGATTCCCACTCAATATGTCAATACTAATGCTAAGAGGACTGGAGGGTATGCCGCGGAGATATTTTAATCCCGCTCGACCTTCCAAGCAAGGGCTTTATCCAGGCACTGCCCGTAATGTTCCTCGAGAGGGTGAAGGCAACTTTAGAGTATTGTTAAGCACAATGCGGAGGAAGATGGCCCTTATGTCTCTCTCCTAAGCTACGTCTCTGATTTTGCTTCCTCCACGATGTTTTTTTTTTACAAAGGTCCACCTCTGCTCATAGGGAGATCATTGGCGTGTCACCGGTTCCCTAGTGTATCTGCGGAGTGTCATCTCAACTGCTTCCTCCGGCGTGCCTGAGGAGTGTCATCTCATCTGCTCCCTCTGGCGTGTCTGTGGAGTGTCACCTCACCTGCTCCCTTCGGCGTGTCTGTGGAGTGTCACCTCACCTGCTCCCTTCGGCGTGTCTGCGTAGCGTCACCTCACTTGCTCCTTTCGGCGTGTCTGTGGAGCGGGGCACCGGCGTCCAACAGTCACTCTCCTGTGCGTTCATGGATTAGATGAGGACATCTCACCTGTGCCCTTCGGTGTGTTCATGAGGCTTGACCTCACCTGAGCTGAGAGTGTCATGACTGACGGCCGGCCGTCTCCCGCGCCGCAGATCGTCAGCCCGTTCTCGGTGTCGGCGGTTGGCAGCGTCGCCGAGGGCCGCGGCACACGGCTGCAGGTGGAGGCGGACGATGTCAAGCTGCAGTGCAACACAGGCGAGCGACGCTGCGGATAGCCGCACTATGGCTGGCCGGCCGCACCAAACACGCCGGACGTCCGCGCTCCCGCAGAGCACGGGCGGTGGGCGCCGCTAACCCGGCCCAGCCCGGCTGGGACGGCTGGAACGGCCGACCCGACCCGACCCGACCCGATCCGACCCGATCCGAACCGACCTAACCCGATCCGATCCGACCCGACCCAACCCCCGCAACCACGCGCACTGGGCGTCGCCGGAGACTCGCCACTACTTTCGACGCTGACGACCGCTGCGGTAGCGGCATATCTCCCAAAACTGGGGCGGGGCGTTACCCCGACCCAGGCAGCCATCACCCCTTGTCCGATAGCGTGTCCTCGAGCAAGCCGTGTTCCGGCCTGCACATCGCGTTATCTTCGCTGTACTTTGCACCGTGTAGATGGTGTGGCGGGCACGGGCTGTCGGCAGCACCGACCGTCAAGACAAGGTATTACCAACGTTTTTAGGGTAAAGAGACAAGGTCGGCCGTGACACGACGGTTTGGTCCTGCTGGCTTGCCGTAGACCGCGCTGTCCGCTGCCAGTAGATTGCTCGACACGTACTCAAGATGGGGTGGAGAGCCGTATCGATACGGGTATCAATGCGGGTCTCCATGGTTTCGTACAGTATCGATACCGAGGCATCATACCCTGCCGCGCGATGGTGAGGCGTGGTGGTTGGACAGGTGAGCAAAACAACATGTGTGTCCCAACGGCGGTGCGGGGCAGGTTTCGATCGACGGGGCTGAGCTGGCTGATGACGGGCCGCCTTAGAACACCGGCCGAGCGACCACGCGTCCGCCGCTGCGGGGACCAAGCCCACCCAACAGACCGGCGATGGAGGCAAGTGTGGATCGCCGCCGCCTACATCAGCACACCGGTAGACGACCAAATCCACGGACCTTATCAGATATCCAGGCCCCGCGCCGACTACGCACATCGCCACACTGCAAGAAGACTGCATGCGACGGCCCGCAGCTGGTCCTTGCAGCCGCCAGCGGCCACGCTGTCTCCGTCCGCCGAGCTCACCGTCCACCGGCCGCAGTCCGCTCCTCCACGATCGCTGCCACATCTCCCGGGACTCTTGACCAAGTTCGGTGACACCGAGTCCATGCGGGTCCGAAAGCTCGTCCCCAAGTGTTCCGTCTTCACTCCTGATGGGCAGCTCTCGTAGCAGGAACGCAACAGCTCACACGCAACTATATATAAGTGCCCACTCGCAGCGAGGCCTGACCAACGACTCCCTGCCAGCCCTCGGACCACGGCCCGGGTCAGCCAGCATGAAAGGCGGCACTAGCCAAGACCCAGCAGTGCCTAAAACAGTATGCCTACCCCCGCTGCCATTTCGCGGAGGACGCTGTACTTGACGTTGTCGACTGGGCGTCGCACAATGCAGACAATGGTGACATATCATCGCCCACAGCAGTTGGGCTGAGCAAAGCCTTCGACAACATCGACCACGTCGTCCTCTTCAACAAGCTGGGATGGTACGGAGTCAATCCCGTGAGGTTCAAGAGCTGCCTCACCGGACGGAGTCAGGTGGCCAGAGGTAGTAGTGCGCCCTCCTGCCGGTCACACCTGGACTGCTATGAGGATCGACAGTCAGACCGATCCTGTTCAGTCTTATGACCAACAACTTGCTGTGCCATCTGTCCAACTGTCATCACGTATGCTGACGGCATCCAGCTGCTGGACCAAACGAAGACATAGGACCAAAATCTGACTGCTCTCCAGACTTAAATTGAGCATACTTTGGCAACGAAGGAGAGCTGGTTTCGCTGTAGCCTCCTCAAAAGGGCCCTGAAAAACCAACCTCATTCTTATTCGAAGCGAGCAAAATATAAAAAGGACGAAAAACTTAAACTTGGTTATGGCCAACGCCCAAGTGTCACCCTCTCGCCCGGTCCGGCTGCTCAGCGTCGCCAATGACTCTGTTCTGTCTGACGGTTCGCACATCAGTCAATGGTCAAGAAGTGCAAAGCACTTTTGATGTGTTTCTTTCGCCTGCGGCATCGTTTCATCCAGGACATGTGGAAGTTTTCTTTGAAACCCACGTATTCCCTTATATCCAGCATTGTCTTTTGGTATGGGAACGCGCCGTCAAAACCAGCCGTACAGGATTCAGAAAGTTCTAAATTTTGCCGCCAGGGGGTGTCGTGGCGTCGGGACAGGATCGGTCCGACACTCCAGGCTCTAGGATGGGACCGAATGGGGCGGTTAGTGGAGGTACAGGACGCCACCAGGATTGGAGGCTTTAACTACCAGACTGGGCCCCCGTATTGCGTTGCACGTTTACCACCAGTGCCTCGGTGTTCCCAGATCGCCCCAACGTAGCAGGACGACTGGAGCTGCCAAAACACCGGCTGGCGTGTTCACAGAAGAGCTTTCGGTACCGGGCGGAGTCCTAGTGGAACAGGCTGCCGGTCGGTGTAATCAAGTGCCGCTCACTGTCCGCCTTTAAGCGCGCCGTGAGGGCCATGTGCAGTCGGGCGGATATTTCAGATACGGTGATATTGCGGCTAAGGCGCACTCACATCCACATGCTATTTTTCATCTTTGCATGTTTGAGGCGCTTTTGGCCATGTGCATTGTGTTTTTAGTATTTCTGACAGTATTCCTTTCCTTGGTTTTGTATTTACCTGTACACGCAACGGGAAATTAACTTTTTTATGCTGTGTTGGCACCATGCAATGGACGCAAAGCCAGAAGAAGACATGGATAGGTTGTCTATGTCGATGATGCAACTAATTATGGATGGTTTCGATCAATTCTCTAGCGCCTGTTTTAAATGTCTGGATGCTTATCGAGATGTATCGGGCCTATCCCGGAACAGACAAAAGACGCGAGCGGTATGGATAGGCCAGCACCGAAACGGAGTGGATGCCATTTGTCCAGAGATTGAGATATTGTGGGAGCGTAACTCATTAGATTGCCTTATAAACAAAACTCACCCCGCCATGCGAAAACCTGAGAAATATTAATTATCCGGAATAGATGAAAGGCTGGAGACCAAACTTAGCCCATGGTTTGGGCGTGGCTTGACTGCATACGGGAAGGTACACGTGAAAAAGTCGGATACTTTCTCGCAGCTTATATATCTAATGACTGTCTTAGAAGAGTCAAATCACACGTCCTTAAAGCAGATAGAAACGATAATATACCAGTTTACTTGGAACCAATTTCGGGCTACGATTAAGCGGTCGGTGATGAAAAACCGTCGTTTCGTCGCAGGACTGAGGCTGCCCAATCCATCAGTACAGGCAGACAGTCTTAAAATGGCCTGGAAAAAGAAGTTGTTGAACCCAGAGTGCAATGCTAAATGGAAGAAAATACCGTAACACAAACTAGAAATAAACGCCGCAATATCATCATTACACTGTGATACTCATCCTTAAGAATGTTGAATCTTCTAGATGGATGTGTATGCGTACATTTTCATTTCTCGTTGTTTTGCGCGCCACCCGTCCGGGACCAGAGGGGTTCCGCGCACATAGCGTGGGAACGCGAACCAGCCGGCCGTGGTCAAGGGCTCCCCTCTCCCCTCCATCCCACTCCCCCCCCCCCCCGAACAGACAGGTCCATCAGGTCGAGGGATGAATGCGGCTCGGCTCGACGATCCGGCCGATCAACTCACGTCGCCAGAACAACACCACGTGCGTCTTCCGGAACAACCATGACGACGGCCCCACCAGCCAAAACCGTCCATCGCGCCAAGACAAATGGAGGCGAGAGCGAGCGATCGGCGAGGCAAATACGCACAGGAACGCTCAAAATAACATGTTGTGAGGCTGTTTGCGATTTCACCCCAACAACCCCTGCCACGCCGGCGCCGCCGTCGCCCCAGATGCCGTCGGGAGAACCGCGCCACCTGGGAACTGGGCCAGAGGGGGACGCGCAGGGCCCGCCCGGGGCGAGAGCGGGCTGGCCTTGCGGCGTCGCCAGCGACGTCACGCCCGAGATCCGGCCTAGGGGCACGTCGAGGGCCGGACTCTGGTAGCGGCGCATGCCGGCCCGGTGACGCATTGGACGGAGGGGGCGAGGCGGCAAACCCATTGGGCCACGCAAGGCGACGGAGGCGGGTCGGCCCAGTTGAAAGGCATCGAAATTTGATAAATTATCATGCGAGGGCCTCCGGAGGAGGACGGACCAGGCAGTACGGAGAGTGAGGAAGCGCGGACCAGAAGTGCGGGCCTGAGAGGACGGACCAGGCAGTACGGGGAGTGAGGAGAGTGCGGACCAGAAGTGCGGGCCAGAAAGGACGGACGAGGCAGTACGGAGAGTGAGGAAGAGTGCGGACCAGAGAGTGCGGACCAGAGAGTGCGGACCAGGCAGTACGGACCAGACAGTACGGAGTGCGGAGAGTGCGGACCAGGCAGTACGGACAGTGCGGCCGCGGCACCTTGAGGTCGATCCTCGAGGCCTCAGCCCGTAGCACCCGGCTGCGGCGTTCGACGCGGCGGACAACGGTCACCGACGATAGCGCACGCGATGTGAGTGCCCAGGCTGTTGACCCCCCCCCCCTTCCTTCCAACTCACCGGGCCATGGATGGCTGGCGCCCCGAGTGTGCCCTTCCGCCCCGCTCCCCACCGGGCGGCGTAAGCCGCGGTTACCGGATCCCTTCCGCAGAGCCGGGGAAAGGGGGAGGGGCTCGGGGTGTGAGTGTGGTAGGTGTCATGCGGCACGACGCTGAGCTCGCCTGAGCGACGGACTGGTATGTCGCGGTCTATGAGTGATGTTTTGCCTCGTTGTCTTTGCGTATGAATACAGGTGTCGGTTTGCGTAGCGATGGTTTAGTGGGGGAGCGAGGCTGGACGAGGTCGGTTCGGGCGGCGAGAGGACACTCGGCCCGGTGTTGGGCGGTGCTGTGTCCGGAGTCCGGGACGCATGCTTGGGCGCAGCGGCCAGTTCGTTGACATGCCCCGTAGGCGTCCGGAGCTTACCAATGGCGGAAGCCATGCAGAGGCGCATCGGCTTGTATGGGCCCTCGTCTGGCCGTCGTCGCGGCCGGACGCGATGTACGGGCCGCGCCGACATGCAATGGTGGCAGGATGTGGGTCAGGTGGACCGCTCGCCGTACATTTCTCGTTTCGTTTTCTTTGTCAATAGTTA